GCTACCTACAGATGTTCTTTACCATAACTTCAGTTTCTCTGCTGATAGCAGAATAAAACTGCATTATATGCTAAAGTTCTGAATTTATACCTTACAGAAAGGAAGAACTAGAATAAAATCAGCATAAATGTCAACATGGCAAGGCTTATATATAGCTGTTTTTGTGTCACCTGACCTTTCATTCACAGTGTATGAATCAGGCAGGTAGAAACAGACTCAATGTCATCAGCAGACCTACTTGTGATCCCCCAGAACTAAATCCTTCAGTATTCATACAGAAATTTTAGCCTTGGTGTGTGGCACTACAAAGAGATTTAAGAAGTGACATCTTTCACAAAATTTGGAATTAAGCTCAGTTGTTAACATAGCCTCTTAACCAGTTTCTGTTGCCAGCATCCCATCATTAACTCATCTAGTCCCTCCCCCGTTGAGTGAGATAAATGGGAGGCAATATGCTCATGCCTTTTTGTACCCTTGTTGTCCATGCAGATACCATAGCAGCATGAGCATAGAGCTTGGTTTGCAGCGAACTATTGTGATGGTGATGTGTGTCATGGAGCAGTAGTTGGAAAGCCAATATATATTGCATCTCCAGGAAGAGGATGAGGATGAGGCTTGGCATGGCATAGAGGTGCTTCTCACACAAGACTTGTCGCTGATTCTATCACAGACAATAGTCAATCATCTGGACACAGTGTATTGCTGGTTCTGGTGCCATGAGACAAGCTCAGACTTGTGGGACCAAGAGTGGAGTTTCGGGAGTGTGGGAGGGAGCAGCGGCTGAGCACTCTGGGATGCAGGCTGCTTTTTATCCCATTCCACGGACTATCAGTGAGTAAGGGAAGCCCACCAGCCAGGTGTGAGAGTTATGCATGGAATGCAAGTACTTTCCCCTCACTCCCTGGTAGTCTGGGGAATGGGATGAAAAGCAAGCTATGTCCTGGAGCATACAACTTCTGTCCCTGCTACCTTGGGTGGGACTGTAATGTGATATAGACATGGGACGATCAGCAGTGGCTGCAGAACTTCCAAATGTGCAGGGCCATGTTCTTGGAACTTTGCAAATGTCTTGCCCCTGCCCTGAGGTGCAATAATATCCAAATGAGACTCGCTATGACCGTGGAGAAGTGCATGGCAATTGCCTTATGGAAGTTTGCAATGCCAGACAGGTACCAGTTAGTGGCAAATCAATGTGGAGTGGGTAAAACTTCAGTGGGGGCTGCTGCTTTGCAAATACCAATAACATTCTGCTATGGAGAGTTGTGACTTTTGGAAATGTGGACAGCAGAATGAATGCCTCTGCTGTGATGGGGTTCCTTAATTGCAGTGGAGTAATCGACAGAATGTACATCCCCATCTTGGTCCCCAACCGCCTTGCCTTGGAGTACATCAGCTACAAGGGGTACTTCTCTGTGGTGCTTCTCTGTGGTACTATACGTGCTAGTGGACCACAAGGGTCATTTCACTGACATCAATATGTGATGGTTGAGAGAGGTGCATGAAGCATGCATCTTTTGGGACTCCTGCCTCTTCCAAATGATGCACAGTGTCACTTTTTTTCTCAGACAGGAAAATCAGAGTCAGAAAGGTGGAAATGCCTAATGTGATCCTTAATGAGCCAGCCTAACTCTTGCTACCATGGCTCATGAAGTTGTACACAAGCAGCCTGGACCCCAGCAAGAAGGAGTTCAACAACAAGCTGAGCAAGTGCAGAATGGTGGTCGAACATGAATTTGTATGTTCAAAGGGGAGGTTTAAACTCAACTTGAGCTCAGCGAACTTACATTTCCGCCTTGCTCTCACTCACATTAGACATCACAAAGGGAATGTTATCTGGCAGGGTGGGGGACTGAGGCAAAGCATCTAGCCAGAGAATTTGAGCATCCAGACACCACCATGATAAGGAGAACATGGCAAAGCACAGCAAAAATCAGAGAGACCTTGAAGGCCAGCTTTATGCAAGGCCAGTTTTGAGACTCTCAACAATTTGCCCTTGTATTCCCCGTGTTTGCCTTTAATCCCCCACTCCATCCCTGCAGTTCAAGCAATAGAAAAACTCTTCTTCTTTGAATAAATGTTTCTATTTGGAGGAAACAGCAGGGAAAGGGAAAAGGTGGGAACCAGAAAGGGTATGGGGGACATAGGAACACAAATGAGTCTACTTTCTTTCTCCCAAGGTTCTGGAGAGCAAGGCTGCCCTTGAGATCCCCTCGCCCATGTGCCCTGGGGCCCCAGTGGAAGCAAAGGGGCTGGAAGACAAGGGACCACGGTTGTCATTGAGGCAGTCAGGGTTCTGGGAGGAGGCTCTCCCCAGGCATGATGCCAGGAGCTCCATAACTGTAGCCAGGGAGTGAAATCTGGTCGTCTTGATCTCCTGATGCTTCGCCTGCATCTCCTCAGTGGCTCTTCCCTCCTGGCATTCCATAATGTGGTTCAGGCACTCTGTCCACATCTCCTTCATTAGGGAGTTCATTCAGTCCATCTGCCCCTGGAACATGTTCTCCCTTGTCCGCTTTTTCCTGCAGATCTGACCCAGATGGGCAGATGCTGGAAGAGACAGAGTACGTACTGAGCTGGTTGTAGTCCCAGCTACAATGAAAAATTACAAGGGCAGACACAATATATCTCCTGTAATGTTAAATCTAACCATAATCTCTTAGCCAACACTGAGGGTTTCTGTAAAGACAATGGGTATGTGTTCCATGCCAGGCCAAATGTTTACTTTAAAGTGGGCACTTTACAGCAGTGCATAGAGTTATCAGGGGAGTGTATGCACCCAGTCAGCTCAGAGGCAGGCAGGTCTGGTAAGAGGCTAGCCAGGGCAGGAGCCTGAAGGCGTGGGAGGGACTTACTCTGCAATGCTTTCTGGTTCAATAATGCCAGACTACTTACTGGTGGCTTGGTGTGGGAAGGTGTCTACCATGGAGAATAAGGCTGGCCTCCCAAAAACCTTGTGAGAAGTACTAAAGAGTTCCAATCTGAGACCTTCAAGGAGCTGTGCAGGCAAGATTTCCATTCCATCTGCAGACATATTAATAACTATTCTGTGCCCTTCATGCTGTTTAGGCACAGAACATGCCTGCCACACAGCACACCCCTTTGGCGTAACCCACTTGTAATTAGAAAAAAATTGTGAACTCACTTTAAGTGCCCTCCCCAGGGCTGAGGCTGGACTGGACCTTACATTTTATTCAGGGGGTAAACAATTTCAAGTTTTCTTTCATTGAAAACGTTCTAGATTTGTTCTTAACTTTTGTATCCTTGGCTCTCTGATTTTTAATACCAAATTGAAATTCTACCATCTTATTCTATATTCTTCCTTTAAGAATAAGGATGTTTCTTTAGTTAAGCTAATGGGAATTCCTGTACCTCCCTACTTCAAAGTCTTCATGACCCAATAATTGTAGTAGATTGGCCAGAATATAGGAAAACAGATGAGATATTTCAATTCAAAAGAGTAAAATAGATCCTCCTCATCTCTTTATGCTACATTAAAAGGATATGGAAACCTATTTTCTGCATGAAAATTATTGAGAATACAAAATCTAAGAATGCTATCTCATCAAGTGTATATCTCAACAATAAATGCTAAGGCAGGCAACCTCACTGTTGCGTTATGACAAACAAATCAAAAAGTGAGCCATTTCTTATCTTTTGGTATCTTGTTTGAGGGGAGCACTAAGCCTTATAGAAAATTGAGAATCTCTGCATCTTTTACAAAGAAGTCAATGGAAAATTACGTCTTTTTAAAACTATATGCAATGTCTCTTTTTCTGTCACAACAGAAGTCAGTTGTAGAAAACTCCATGTCTTTTGTAGTGAAAATATAACTATAAATTGGCTAGCTTAATGACCAGATTTATAGTAACCTACTATTCTAGTTTTATATCCATTCAGTGCTTGATTGTGTGCAGAGACGTGAGCCTCCGAATAGCTTGTAAAGTCAGCAATTATGCATGTATGGACAAAACACTGCACACTTACAGGATCGATATACAATAGTGATTAGTACCAGTATGTCTAAGAGGAAGGCCAAGCCCTCAATCAACTTACCACTGCAATATGCTCAATCATGTATATTTTTGTCATTTTGTTTGGAATTCTGTCTGTCATGTGTATTGATTCCAACAGGAAACAGTTGAAAGGACGGCAGCTGCAGCTGCTTTTAACACAATTTTGTTTTTAGTCTTTTAGTGGAATTGTCTTTATTGTTTAAAAAAAAGACTACTGTTTAGGTTTACATACTGACTATAATATGTACTTAAATTGTTCTCCATAATGTATGACCAGCTAGCAATGCTGTTCAGGAAGAATCTACCAATTTCCTCTATGATCGTCATGTTCCTAATGTCAGACTATCAGTTGGCTGCTTATGTATTAACTTTAACAGTTTGATATTACATGCCAATCTAAATAAGCAACATCTGTCTGTCTATCTATCTATCTATGGGTACGTCTAGACTACAGAGTTTTGTCGACAGAAGTTTTGTCGACAGTATCTGTCGATAAAACTTCTGTCGACAAAGAGCATCTAGACACATTCAGTTCTGTCGACAAAGCAAGCTGCTTTGTCGACAAAACCCTGTAGTCTAGACACAACCCTACATGCAATAACATCTTCTGTTGACAGAACTCTGTCGACAAAAGGTGTTATGCCTCGTAAAATGAGGTTTACCAGCGTCGACAAAACTGCTGAGTTCTGTCGACGTTATGTCGACAGAACTCAGCAGTAGTGTAGACGCAGGTATAGTTTTGTCGACAAAAGTCCACTTTTGTCGACAAAACTCTGTAGCCTAGACACACCCTATCTGTGTATACACAAACAGGTTTATATGAGAGCAGGTTGCAGGGTAATAATTCTGTCTTTAGGAAAGAAGTTATAGATTTTGCAAGAAATTATTGCATAATTCTGTTTTCTCAATTTTATTCTTAATAGTTTGATTTAAGAACATTTTTATTATGTTTTTTTTATTCTTCATTCTCTATTGGTTATTTTATAGATACATGTCCAGAAAAACTGAATACTACTGAAAGGAAAGAATAGAATACTTTCTGGATTTTCTTCCCATCGGCAGAGTATATTGATTGTAGCATTCCATCAATTCTGAGGATCAACTTATTTGTAAGTAGGTTTAACAAACAGAATGAAATCTCTTTTCTAAGGGGTTTTGTGGATACATTTTAGAATATCAGTGTTCTTCCAGACATCCTTTAAAAGAGCTATAAGAATGCGGAAATATTTCCCCTAGAGAATTTGAGAATCCAGATTGAGGAAGGAGGACAAAGGCTGAAACTCTCTTTATTTTTCTGTAAGAAATGCTGTGCTCTTTTGAGTCTTGCAAGAGTTTCTGTTTATAAGATTTTTTTCTGTTGGTAGCCATGAGGGAATGGATGGAATAAACAGAAGTGTAACCACTAAGGGTAATTCAGAGAGACAAGCTCCCAACCTCCCTCCATCCCAATTCATTGATATTTTGTTACTATCCTGTTGCTGTAATTGTAGGAATAATTAATTTTCAGTCCTGTACTCACTAGCTTACCCTTCACCCCCCACTTTTTTTTTTTTTTTTTTTTTTTTTTTTTATGGTGGAAGTTCACCAAGTTAATCAGTCACGTCTCTTAATTATGGGATAGATAGAAAGGGATAGAAAAGGATAAGTTTGAAAAGTTTACAGGACTTATGGAAATCTTTGTGTTTGATAAATGAAATTTAATTTCTGTGAGAAATAGACTGACAAGTGGCTAAGGTGTTTTTAAATGTGTTTTAAAACTGAATGTCCCCAGTGTAGTTGGACCCAAGTTGGAAAGATCGTTATGTTTGCAGGTAAGAATTCGATAGACATTCTGTGACAATAGAAAGTATTTGTAGTTCAATGGTTTGAGGTGGGATATTTTGCTGTTTAGAGAGTTTTTGTGTGTGACTAGTAAGGTTGTTGGACTTTGAGGATATGCAGTTTTAATCAACACATACAAAAAGTCATTGCCATATATCCATTTTCTTTGGAAAATGTATAACTAGTGTTGGGAATTCCAACATTTCACTTAATTGATGAAAAATGGAAATATTGAGAACTGAATATGATTTCATGAAATATTGCCAAGTATATGGACGATAAGGGTATGTTACCTGATTCTCTATTCCCTGCCAGCTAAAAATTTGAAATAATAAAATGTGCCTACGCAGCAAGTCGTTATTTCGAAATAATGTCGAGATGGAAGACTTCTTACTCCAACTTCTATAACCCTCATCTCATGAGGAGTAAGCAAAGTCAAAGTATTCTTCCTTCAACTTCCTGCTGTGTAGACAGTGCCAAAAGCCGAATTAAGGTGTTTCGACTTCAGCTACGCAATTGACGTAGCTGAAGTTGCATATCTTAAACTGACTTTTGCCCTGTTGTGTAGACGTGCCCTTTGTCATCTAAAAGTATACTGCATCTAATGAAAATGTTCAAACTTTTTGAATATGCAGTACTATTGCAAGTAATTTTTTTCAGAATTTTTTTTCTTAAAGATGACTTTTGAAAGGTCTGGGGAATACAGTTTGCCATCTGTTATCTTAACATAATGTTTTTTGTTATTTGTTTCTTGTTTTTTTTAAATTGTCTCTATATTCCCATTATGATCATAGGATAATATGAGTCACCATCCCCTTTAGATAATTTAAAAAAGTCTGATTTTCAGACAGTGGTTGACGCTCTGCACTTCAAGTTTGTTTTAAGTTGGATACTCAAACAATGAAGCCCCCTACTATACTTGTATAACCCTACTAACCACCAAGGAGTTGCAGTGGTTGGTGGCCCAGTATGATTCCTGGTAAAACCCTGAAATATCTCTGCACAGCAGTGAAGAAAGTGGCACCCTCATTGATTCTGAACTTTCAATTGTTGATTCAGATATATTGTAATATTTAATATGCTGTAGTTTTTAAAGGGGCAAAGAGCTTTTTTAGTGGAACCATCTGTGTGCACGATATAACAAAGTTCTGTTTGATTCACTTGAACATGTAAGTTGTCTGTTTTATGAGTCATCATTTGTGCACGATGAGTCTAGGTATATTCTACTTTATAACTTAGGAAATCTATAGCAGTTGTAGTACAGAAATATTTAAAGAGGCAGTCCAACACATTTGTTTCTTTGACAAAAAAGTGATCAATTTTAATTTGTGAAATTGTAATGCTAATACTGTTTTCTTAGAAATCTGAAAGGTTACTTATTAAAACAACAGTGGCACTAAAATATGGCAAGTCAAATTTGATCATATCTTTTGTCAAAATAAAACCAAATTATGAGATCAACTCATGAGTCATTTTTAAATTTAAGGTAGAGAAGAGGAAAAATGAGACTATATTATGCATTTTTATCAATTTGTATATTTTTTTTCAGTTAGGTAGTCATAAATCAAGGAATATTGTATTTTTGAGGCTCATTAAAGAGACATTATACACTGGAATAGTGAAGCAGTCAGCATAATGAAATTATGAATGCCTAAGTATAACTATCTGTATGTAAATTATGTGAGACAGATTTGCTAATGTTACAGAGGAGAATAACAATCTATTTGACAGTTCCCTGTAGGTGCTACTTCTGGATGCAAGTGACAGATGTTAAATGTAAACCTCTTCAACAGCAATCACTTATTAGCATGTGGAAAAGGGCAAGGGAAGGCTATATAGAACAGGATAAATTGCAAATACAGTAGTGCCATTTAAATAATTTGTTCATATAATGCTATATGGCCATTTTAAAATGTTTTGTTATTACACAGTGGTAAAAAAAGTTCAGGTATATAAGGAAGCATTCTAGAATTTAATTTAGAAAAATGTTGCTCAAAGAATCTACAACTTTATTCAAGTTAACTATATATTATGGATAAAACTGGATGAAAAAACAGTTTATGGAATGTTTCATTACTTTCTTATTACCAAACTCCATATTATTGTGACTCTTTGATTTGAAATTATTCACTGAATACTCACGGAACTCCACTTTGGTAAGAACATGAGTAATGTATTTGCTGGTTGTTGTTATCACTGTGTAATTGATCAGCTTAGACATGTGGCATTGTTCAGGGACATCACTAGGGCCTGGGGAAAACTCCCCTTACAAGTGTGGGGCCCATGCCAACTGCCCGGCTTCAGGCCCCTTCTCTGCCCCATCCCTGCACCCCTGCTCCTCCACTCCCACTACAGCCCTTTCCCCAAGCCTTACCCATGCTTGTCCCACCCCTTCTCGCCCTTGTTCTGCTCCCTTGCCTGAAGCCTGCTCTCCCAAGCATTGTGAGCAGGGGCACTTTTTGGGTGCTCTGCTGTGGCAATGCAGCAAGGGGGTGTCCCCCCCTGCATTCACTGGTAGGAGCCAGAGTGACCCAGCAGCCTGCTCTGCTCCACCCTGCTGTGCCCTTTCAGCCTGGTGCACTCTGCTTCATTGCTGTCATGAGTAGGAGGGGCTGACCTCTGCGGCCTTCCCACATCAGGACTCCCAAGGAATCCCCATGGCTCCATAGGTCCCATGTAGAGGATGGTTGAGATTGCTACCACACACAGTCTTCCCTCCCCTGGACCAAAGTGTGGAGACTGGGGTGGCTACTCCAAACCATTATATGGACAGAATAGCTGTGCTGGGTTTTGTGTTTTCTGACCAATGAGTGTTACAGTAATATGGGAGGAGGGGGAGGAAGGGCAATAATAATTCATTAGGACCTTAATATTTTTAAGAGATGTTAGGAGGACTTTTTGGAGCCTGCAGGATTAGGAAGTTGTACAAGCTTTAAAATGTGTATTTGCCAGACAAGAGAGTGCCAGACTAGAGAGGTTCAACATCTATTTCTGTATCTCCTAGTTCAGGCCTTGCCTAAGATGATATTGCTAGTAAATATAAAGTACAGGTTGAACTTCTCTGGTCTGGCAACATCTGTAGTTCAGCATGACTTTAGTTAGCTGGATGTCCACTTATCATGGAGGTAGCCAAGTTCCCCACAGTCCCATAACGTTTGTTTACTGCCACCAGTTCTAGTTCTCACTGTTTTGTCCTGTTATTTATCTCTAATTTATCCTTAAATGCCATCTAAGAGCCCAGTAAGCAGTAGAAGTGTTGATAATGCTGCTAGATAATATTGACCTGCTGTGGTTCAGCAAATTCTTTAGTTCAGCATCGGTCAGGTACCTAGGGTACCAGACTGAAGAGGATCAACCTGTATTAGAATTTTATAGATGAGCAGTTTGTAATAATCCATTTCTTAAACACCGATCAGTATTAAAGATGCCTAGAAACTATCAAATACTATAGCAGTTGTGATTCTTCTGCATGCTGAAGCTTTTTTTTTTTTTTTTGCTTATATGTCAGCCTACTCTCCCACAGAAATCTTCTAAACTGCCAACAAAATTGGTGTTCAAAAGGGGAAGAACTAAGCAAAAAGTGAGAACTTATTGTTGAAACATATCTGTGCATTTAGCCTTCAAACTATCTCCAGCCTATTAATATTATGAAGTCTTAGATCACAAAGATCATAGAATCATAGAATTATAGGACCAGAAGGGACCACAAGAGCTTATCAAAAGTGTTTATTGAATGTTTTCTTGTTACCCACTTATATTTTTATCTAGTTTAATCTTGTTTTGCACTTTGGCCTTTCTAATGTTTTCCTTATATACTTCTGTTATTTGTTTATATTCGTCCTTTGTAATTGGACCTTAAGTTTCAGATAATTGAAAATTTCCTGGTTAAGATAAGAGTGGTCTTTTGCCCTAATTCTTATCTTTCCTATGCAGTGGGATATTTTGTTCTTGTACCCTTAATTACATCTCTTTGAAAAAATGCCAATTATGTACACTTGTTTTCTGTTTTCTTCTGCCAATTGGTACTGTTGCTATGTGTAACTTGCATTAATTTATCCACTTGGTGATTCAACAGATCCTTGCAGATTTATAATTCCTTTTCATGGTTTTAAATTATCAGACACGCATACACTGTATGATTTATTTACTGGGCATTATTTTTTTGTTCTCCTTGTTATTGTGTTTGCTAATTTGTTTTCTTCTTCCTTTCATTTGAGTTAAGGAATTCATTTCCCTCTGTTTCTTTCTTTTTAAGAGGCTGATAGCATTCACTACATAAATCATTTTT